TAAGAAAATCTCTAAAGAATTCAAGAGAAAAGATATTACGTTCAGAAGAATAAAGAGTACTCATAATGTTCTCATTAGAAACTAGGCAACCTCTGGTTGTCCTACCTAGATCTCCAAATCCTCCCCTCCTTTCACTGTATCACACCCCACATTCTTACCATGAATTGTTAACTTGCCCATGGACTCCCTCCCCTCTAAAATGTACGTGAGCCAAAAGAGCAGTTACATTATCTTGTACACTGCTATATCCCCAGTGTCTAGAACCATGCCTGCTATAGGTGCTCAACAAATACCTGATAAATAAATAATGTCATCCAGGCGGAATGGCAGAGAGCAGTAAGGTATTCTCCCACCACCAGGGGTTCAGCGCCATTACTGAAGGTGTGTGGCCATGAGGGAAGGAGGGAACCTGGAGTGTGAGACAGATTCCAGATCATGAAGCAATGTTTAGGACCTTTCAGGACCTGAAGAAATTTGTGGAACTGGAGTTTCACTCCATGGGCAGATATTTTAGGCAGAGGAGCGTTAGTATCCTGTTGCAGTCTAGAAAAATTATTCTGGTGTAATGTGCCAGATGACTTGAAGAGGTGAGTTTGCGAGCAGGGAAAAGGTGAGGCATGAGTACAAGCAGTGAGAAGGAGCCAGCTCTAGAAAGCTCATGGGAGGGAGAGTGTAGAGGAGTTGGTGACCAGCTAGGTGTAAAGGGCGAAAAGAGAGGCTTCGACCTGTGTGATGGACAGATTAGGAATGCAGAAAGAGAAGAAACTTTAGGGAAAGGCTTGTATGTTTGTTATTTATTACTGTACAACAAAGGCTCAGTTAAGCCAACTTCCATTATTCGCAGCCTGTGGATGAAGAATTTAGGCATAGCTGGTAGCCTTTGGACTTACTAAGGCTGTAACCCACCCGTTGGCAGGGCTGTAGCCCTCTCAAGGACTGACTGGGGAAGGATCCTCCTTGAAATGCACCCACAAGGCTGTTGGCAGGCCTAAGGCCCTCTCTGGAAGTTGGCTGGAGAAATCGGCACCTTGCCTCGTGTGCCTTTCCATAGGGCAGCCCATTCCACGGCAGGTGGCTACCCTCAGAGTGAGAGAAAACATCCCGAGATGGAGGCCACAGTCTTTTTATAACCTAATATTGGAAGTGACAGCCCATCATTTCTGCCCTATTGTGTTTATCAGAAACAAGTCACTAGGTGCAGCCCATACTCGAGTGGGGCTGGGGGGAGATTATACGAAGGAGTGAGTACCAACTAGGAGACGAGACTCCTTCGAACCATGTGAAGAGGCTGCTGACCACAAATGGCGAGTTTGGACATGTTTAATTTGAGGAGTCTGAGACCTCCCAGTTGGAAATGCTCGATGCAGTTGGTTGCGTAGTTCTCAGGCTCTGGAGAGAATCTGCTGTTTGTGGAACACAGCTTGGAGTCTTTGTATAAATTTACAACCAGTGGCTCAGGGCCCTTTGTTTCCAACTTGGTTTGAAGCGTCTAGAGGTCAGTGATAAAGGACAGATATTTTTCAATTTCCAGGTACCCCTCAGGTAGGGGATGCTCAATACAAAATTGCTGGTTGAGTTACTCAGGAGGCAGTGTATCACTGGGTTTCGCAAGGTTGAAAATAGTCCATTCAGCAATTCTTGCTCAGCCACCAACTGTAGGGGAGACTTGGAGAGAGGTCTTCCCCTTTCTAAGCTGTGGGCTCCTGGTCAGCCTACAGTGGGTATAAGACTAGATTAGTGGTTTATCTAAAATGTAAAGATTTTACCTCAGGTACCTCAGGAGGTTAAAATAGGAAAAAGTTGGTCTGTTCTGGTTGGCTTCCTTCTTGTTTTCCCAGAAAAGAATCCTATTTTCAAAAACAGTGAATAAAGTAAATTCCTAGTTTTTTTTTTTTCCCCAGCTCAGATATTCTTCGATTTTATGGCAAGATCCACTGTAAGCTCCACCTAGTTCTGCGATTCTGCTAAGATCCATTGGTGCTGAATATTTCTTTAAACTTTTGAAAGGAAAATATTCATTTTTTCTTGAACTTGTGAAAAAATATAGTAAAGCTGACTTAACTAAACACTTAGCACTGTCAAGCACTGTGCAAAATACTCTTCATTGCATGATCTTTGATCCCATCTTTTCCACTAGAGTGTAAACTGCAAGAGGAACGGGAATTTGTCTAGCTCATCATGATAGTTCTTGCAGACAGAAGAGTTCTTAGGCCATAGAAATCAGTAAATTTTTTATTAATGAATGGGTTAAGTTTAATAAGTACTATTTATATTTCCATTTTATAGTGCAGAAATGGAGTCTAGATTTACTAACCTGCCTGTAGCCTCACCAGTTAAAAGCAGAACTAGAATATGAATAGCTCATTGTGACACCAAAGCACGCTAAGGCCATTTTTTTGTTTTGTTTTGTTCTGTTTTTTGTTTGTCTGTTGTTTTTTTTTCCAATACCGGCAATCGAACTCATGATCTCAAGCTTGCCAGGCAGGCGCTGTGCCACTGAGCTAAATCCCCAGCCCCCTAATACCATTTTTTTCCTTTTCTTTTGCTTCTTACTTTTTCTAATACTGGGAATTGAACCCATGAGTATTCTACCACTAAACTATGTCCCCAGACCATTTTATTTTATTTTTAAATTTTGAGGTAGGGTCTCATAAAGTCACTGAGGTGGAACTTGAACTTGTGGTCCTCCTACTTGAGCATTTTCCAATGCCAGGATTACAGGCATGCACCACTGCACCTGGATCAATGCCATTTCTTGGTGGAGGTCATGGGGAACTGGAAAGGGAACTAGACCATACTGATTATCATCTATAGGATGAGCATAGTCCTAGGTTTTACTTTTCACTTCCATTCTCAACAACTCTCCAAGGCAGCTATGTTATTTCATTTTTCAGGTGAGACCTGGAGAGGCTGCACACCTTACCTAAAACCTTCCAGCTATAGGGTAAGAGACTGAGCTGAAATTAAAGCCCAGGCCTTTCTGACTCCAAAGCATTTCTATGCAAGACCCAACACATTAAAGAACATGTGTCAAAGTTAGGTTCTGGAACATATAACATGGGTGGGTGCAGGTCCACATGGGCCATGAGGCCTTGCCACCCCTCCCCCAGCTACCAGCATCTCTACAGCTTTGCATTCCTGAATGCACTGGGTGTGGAACCGAGAAGAGTCCAACAGGCTGAGAGAGTAGAAATCCACATTTCTAAGATGTGGCACAAAGGAAGAGCTGAGGGCTGAGGAAGATAAATGCAGGCGCAGCAGCCTGCTGTCCTGTGTAGCCTCATCAACATCAGGCCAGGTCTGAAGTTAGAACGATGATGTCACCAGAGCCTCTTAAAGAGCTCATCACTCATATCCACTTGTCATATATTATTAAGCAGATCTATAATACATGTAGCATTTTCTACTGAATTTCCAATTTCTTCCTTTTCATGACCAGGGAAAGAAAAATAGAGTCACGATGACTTTTCCCAACTTTTCATCCTTATTGCCCTTCATTGAAACATAACTACTTCTTGAATCATTCCCAAAAATGGTCATCCAGGCTTTCATTTCATTAATATAGATGAATCTTCAGTTTAATAATTATCATTTAACTAATGCATATTCTACACAGACAAGTAAATGGATTCCCCCTCATCTTTTCTTCTGGAGTCCACAGAGGAAGCGGAGTCTACAACCATATCTTTTTCTTTCTCTAGTCTCTACATTATTTTTTGAGACTTTGGGGTTGTATCAATTATGTTAGAAACTTTCCACGTTATTGCTTCTGTAGAGATAATGAAAGTCGTTCTGAGAATCTGAAGGCCTTGTAGTCTGAATCGCGTTAGGAGCAGTGATCCTGAGGATGAGAAGTTATCCAGGTGAAGGGCCGGTGAAGGTGGACAGAGCCCAGATGCATATGGTGGCTGGACCCGACGGTAGGCCTTGCGAGGCATTAGAAGAAATCAGAGTTGCTGGAAGGCAGAGCCTCGCTGGACGCAGGCAGCATGCTGGATTCAAGAAAAGGTGCCCAACCGAGAGTGCTGAGGGTCTGCCCTGAGGGTGGGGCCGTCTTCATGGGTGTGTGGCCCATGGAGGCCTTGCATGGGGTTCCACATTCCAGAGAGCTTTGAGCCTGATTTCATGCTCTGTCACCATCATGAAATGGTTAATACTTTCCACAAAAAGGAGCTCACCTTGTCATCTTGTGCTGGGTGGCACGTAGTGTGTGATCTGTCATGCTTGCATGTGAAAGCCAGCTGTGTAGGCAGTGCTGGGGGAAATGTGTGAACCTTTCTGAGACTCAGTTTCTGCTTCTGTGAACTTGAAAGCATAGTTCCTCCTTTAAGATAACATCATGAGGATTCAATGTCATTATGAATCATTAGTGCATTGTAGAGGAATTGGTGCCTAGTAGGTACCCAGTAAATATTCTCTCTCCTTAACTAAGAGAGCATATTGGTATTATCTGGGGACTTGCTGTTCTCCAGATACACTTGCATGGCCTCTGTTCTGAGCAATGCCGGCTCAGTAGGTGTGGGGTAGGGTTGCACTGGTTTTGAAAGGGCCCTTATATGATATTCATGAATACTCTTGGTTAAGAAAGGCAGTCTTAGGTTTTCAGAGATCTTGCTAAGAAGCAACTTAAGAGAGGAGGGCAGTAGAAAAGGCAGAGGGAGAAATTGATGGACTACTACTAATCCTTAACATAATAAAAAACCTGTTAAAGAGGAAAGGTCATCATTTTATAGCACTTCAGACGACACAGATAGTGCTGAAATGCACCATGGGAATGCATCCCATTATGAGGGTTTCTATAAAATTCTCTGCTATCCATTTGGACTGACAAGTATGCTCAGAGGAACAGGGGCTATAGACCAGAGAAGCCAGGGTCGAGGCCAAGGCTGGGTCTGAGTTTGAATTTATTTTCCCCTTCATGATCCTAATATCATATTTAATTCCCAAAAAGAAACTGTGGGCTAGAGGGAGTAAGTCTGAAGCATGTTTGTTCTGCCCAGATTTTAGGTTTTGACATTCTTCTGATGAAAAATCTGAAGCCTATGCTACTGGAAGTTAATGCAAATCCCAGCATGAGAATCGAACATGAACATGAAGTAAGTATTTTGAGCATCTCATTGACTGTATGGCTAGAAAATCAAGTGTTCCTACTCTCAAGGTATCCTCTTGGCTACACGAGACTCAGCATTCTCAAATTTTCACAGCGAAGTTCTGTTCAAGTCAAATAAATTTAGTTCCGTTGAGCCCTAAACAGAGTCTATTAATATAAGACCTTTCCGACCTATGGTAATTTCCCAGCATGCCGTTCTTCCCATTTTTAAGGTCTGGAAACTTAGAAGCAGCTGAGCCTTTCCATCAGTTTTGACACAAACTAATTAGGTAGCCTCAGGAGATGAACTAATTGAAATTCTATGAATATGATTTAGCCATGTCGACATGCTTGAATCACTAAGATAAATAGTACGTTTAACAGTGGTTATATTTTTCTCCACCCCAAAATGCATTTAAAAACCTGGAAAGAAATACGCCCAAATATTAGCACTGGGCTTGATGGAGGGGGAGACAATGTAGAATCTTTTAATTTTCTTAATGCCTTTCTATATTTCCAGCTTTTCTACAGGGAACATGTATAATTTTGATAATCCGAAAACACAGTGCTATTTTTTCCTCTTCAGGTATTTTGTAATTAATAAAAAAGAGATTGGCATTCTTAAGGCAGTACTATAAGGACAGGATTAGAAATTTTTTTCTATAGATTAGCCCAGGCAAAATGTAATAGTGTAACCGCTTGACTGGTTAGAAGATGGCATACTAATGGCCACTTGGCACTGACTCGCGATCCTACTGTAACACAAAATCCTTACCCATTCAAGCTCTCTCCAGGGGTGTTTGAAAATGTCCCCAGCCTGGTCGATGAAGAGGTGAAAGTGGCCGTGATCCGAGACACACTGCGTCTCATGGACCCACTGAAGAAGAAGAAGGAGACCCAGTGAGTATTTATGACGTCATTCACTTCTAGTCACTCTGCTTCCTAACTCTGCTGCGTATCCTAAGCAGGTGAGTTATGTTCTTAGAACCTGTTAACATGTGAGACCTACATACTAAACAGTTTCATTTTGTAAGGATCAGCCTCCAAGTAACAAGCGATTTAAAATGGGTAATCCGACCACTTCCTAACAAATTGTTATCCAAATTAGGAAAGTCTCTCCCAACCTCCCACTTTCCCTCAGTGAAAGGATCTCCACTTACTCACCACTGTTTGGTACTTTTAAATCGCCAAGCATAAGAAGAGTAAAGTAAAATACAGAGAAGGCCGCGAATAGCTGGACATGGAGTTTCCTCCTTTTGTTTCTTCACAGTGTAAGCTTTTAGTTTCAGATCGTGCAGAACCAGTGTAATGAACGTCTGACACTTGTATCGTGTTTATAACAGTTGTAATTCTTCTCCATCCTCAGCTACCAAGTGGCACACTATATGGGGATATAGGAGGGTGTGTGTGCCCTACCTCTCCCTCCACAGAATCACTCCAGAAATGAAAGGCATTTCACTAGGGCGTTTTGTTTGTTCTGTTTTTACCAACTCCCAGGCTCTCCCAAAGTAAATATAACTATCCTGATGTATTAGGCAAAAGAAATTCAAAGAAAGACATTTCAAACAGCATTCACACCCCTGAAAATCAGGTTGATTCCAGTGCTCCCTGACACTGAAGACCTTGTCGGGGATGCTTCATCACTGGGAGAAGTGCAGACTTCCCTGGAGCAAGTGATGATTTGTAGGTTGCTCTGCTGAGGCTCCTGACCAACTGGGCTCAAACCCAAATATTGTTAGCGTCACCCTACAGGAGTGCTTCTCACACTTGGCTGCACACGAGAACCATCTGGGGAGCTTTCAAAAATACAAGTACCAGCACCTCTGCTTCTGAAGATGCCGATTTTAATCACCCTGGGCTCGAGGCCTGGCCACAGACATTTTTAGTTTCTCTAGGTGATTCCACTGTGTAGCCCAGGTTGAGAAGCACTGCCCTGCAGGAAATGTTACGTGGAAGACACCTTCTCAGCTGAGTTCTTCCTGAACGCATTCTTCACCATGGGAGGCATGGGTTGCCATGGTTGGCGAGATGCCACTGAGAATGTTCGCCTGTGGTTTGCATAGGCCAATGCTACCAGGTGTGGCTTCCACCAATTAGGTCTTCAAAGTGGCAGTGTGTCAGGGCCGCCAAGTCCTCTGAGTAACTCAGATGCGACAGCTACTGAATAATGTACCCACCAGTAAATGCAAGCAGCTGCTTTCTCCAGCCATGCCTTAGGGAAAGCAGTGGTTAGCTGCAATTTGGGTAGATTAATTGCAATAAAACCCATTCCTCAAAAAATCGATTCTCTAACAGTTATTGATCTCAACAGCAGAAACGAGGTCATAAGAGACTGTACATGCTCTGAGGAAACTCGGGTAACTTTCTGTGCCAGCATAGGGCATGGTGGTAGAGTTTATTTTGGGATGACCTGACACGGTGGCATTCTGACTCCTTTGGCGTGAACAAAAATCTCAATAGCTGTGGTGTGGTTTTCACCTTCTTAACCTCTGCCGCCAAACATGAAGAGGGAGAAGGTTTGCATTGTATTTCACATTAAATGGTGTTGAAACAAAATTAGCTTTCTTTTTCTTATTCTAGTTGTTTTTCCCTTACCTTATAATCCATGTGAGCTGCAGGTCTGAAATTTAATAGCAGTGGGGCACCAGGCCATCGATTGGAAAGGATGAAAAAGGCATTTTGCAACTTATCAAGTCATAAGTAGCAGCATCTCATTTTTAATTTAAAAAGCATTGACTTTTTTATCGATAACTAGGACCAGTTAGAACTTCAAGGACCTGATTTCATTTCTAATATAGAATCCCTTTCATCTCACCTTTTTTTTTTTTTTTTACCTACACCTTAAGAGTGTATGTTAATAGCTAAATGCCATTTACTGGTATTTTTCTCAATTTCACTTTATTTTATTTTTTACTCAGCAGCGGTTATCCGTGAAGGCACTTTGTAACCTGTAAAGTACATTCATATGTAAGGGATTATTTTTTTCATTTTGGTAACTTTGCCATGCAGAGGAAAAGGCTGAGATTCTGCTCAGCTCCTTTGTACAGAGATCCTTCAGAATAACTTGAAAGCACTAGATTTATTTCCACAGAAAATGCACAGTGCTGCAGTGCTGGGTCTAAGTCCAGTTCTGGGACCATGTCATTCCAATTGCATGGAAGGATGTCACATAGATCCCAGCTGGAAGCTACCTTTAGAAGCAGAGTTTCTTGGGATTGCACAGAATCTAACCTAAACCTTTTAAAACAAATGCTGTGCTAGACTTTTCCTTCAACTCTTTAGCAAAACAGGGTATGAAGGGGCCCTCTTTAGTTCTTTCTTGGGGACCGTTTGTCATCAGGACTATTGAAGAGGGTCTTCACTTGCCCCTACACAAATTGAAAAAAAACAAACAGGATGACTTGAGCACCCTCAACTCCTAGAATGTTCTAGAAAGATGCAAAGAGCACCAGACATTTGTTCACATGTTTCTGCACAGCCCTGGGTCTTCTAGCTCAGGTCATTTTCTTAGTGGGACTGAGAGCAGTCCTCAGGCATTCTTTGCGGGGAGGAACTTGACTTTGCCAGTATCCACTTTGGCATCTTTTAAAAAAGTGCTTTCAAGCTGACATTGAAATCCTGACCCTGTTGTCAGCTAGCGGTAAGACACTGGGGTGGTTGCATAGCTGCTCTGAGGCTCAGTATCCTTTTCTATGGAATGGGATAAAGGCATTTAACTGAAACCATGAGGAAACAGTGAGAAAAACCATGTAGGCACTTTATAGTGCTTATTTTACTGATCAATAGTATCTACTGGACATGAAATAAACAAAAAATACGCTTAGCTGTTATTCTCTTTCCTGGTCTACCTAAAGTAGAATTTTGAACTGAAGACCAATAACATATCCTAAAACTGAAGCTGTGGGATCCTCATGGACTAGAATTGACATTGGAACTGATTACCAATGCCAGGCTCTGTTGCCAGGTAGCAAGAGGTCTTAGTTGGTAGCTTAGGAGAAATTGCCTTTGGTTTCTGACACAGAAAGACAGCCGTCACATGAGAACTATTTTGACTGTGGTGATGTTTTGTAGTATCTAGTGACTCAGTTGCTTTTCATCCTATGGTCCAGTGGAGGCACTGTGGGAATACAGGATGCGGAAGGCTGATATGGTGCAATTCTGGAAATATTATCTATATGGAGATAAAGTTCACCTATTGTAAAAATAACCATTTAAAATTGTACAGTTTGGTCCTAGAGAAATAGCGTGGTGATAGAGTGCTTGCCTAGCATGTGTAAACTACTGAGTTCAGTCCCCAGCACTACCCACCCCAAGTATAAAATTTAGTGACATTTAGTACATACACAACGTTATGCAACCACCTCTCCATCCAGCTGTAAGTATTTTTGTCACTGCCAAAGGAATACCATCGCATGAAGCAGCCTCTCCCCATTCCCTTCATCCACACCCCCTGGCAACTATCTATCTGCTACGCATTTCCTATTTTGGATATTTTATGTAAATAATATATAATATGCAGTCTTCTATGATTGGCTTTCATTTAGCACCGTGGCATAGCATTTCCCACTTCATTTCTCTCTATAGCCAAATACCACTCTGTTACATAGATATAAAACATTTTAGTATTCATTTGTCAGCCACTGGACATTTGGGTGGAAGCCATCTGCCTTTCAACCAGATGGGTGTTGATCCGTTTCATATGTTGACTTTCTTAGGGGCTGGGAATATAGCTCAGTGGCACAAGTGCCTGTCTAGCAAGCGCAAGGTACTGAGTTCTATTCCTGGTACCAAAAAGAAAAAGAAAAAAAAAATAATTTGACTTTATTCCTTAGCGTTCACTTGAGAGAAAGGGGTCTTTTATGCTATAAGAAGTTATTGAAACCTCTGCTTTAATACAGTCTTAGAAATCAAACCTTTAACAGGTTTTAGGATTCATCATGCCAGTCATTTCTCTGCTACAAGAATCTCCCTCATAAGCAACACTGACAAAAGAGCAGCACGTGTCCAGACAAGGCGCTGCACCTGGCAGCAGCCAGGTGTGAGGTGAGGTCCTTCATCTCCAGGACCTTGCGCTATGAGCTTGGCCAAGGCATTTTGTTCTCTGATCTTGTTTGTCAAATGGGAATCAAGGGCCCTCCTTGGCTGGATTGTTATGTTTGTGCTATGAAATGACACCTGAGAGAGAGAGAACTTCATGAAAGCTGAGCATTAGACAAATGCGGGTTGTCAGGGTCACTGAGTGATCAGTTAGACTTTATTTTAAAATGAAGCTGAGGTGACAGGTAACTCACTGGCTTCTGTGGTACCCTATTGGAGTTGTGAGCATTAGTGGTTCTTTGCCCTTGAACCAAGTATAAGAAACTAAACTAGGGGAAGTTAAGTAACTTGTCCCAAATCACAAGGATCATTAGCAGTGGATTAGAACCGGGGCCCAGGTCTCCTGACTTCAACCCCAGTGTTCTCTCCACTTGCCACGTTGGTACAGTGGACTCCACTTTCTACTGTACGTTCAAAGTTAGCTTCAAAGGTGGGAGTAGAAATAAGGAAAAATCAACAGGAAATGTCCTCTCTTCTCAAGGTATTTGGGCAACCTAAGTCTTTCATATTGAAAAACTTTTATCAGAAACAGAAGTGAATACATGGCATTCTCCAATTATTTTTCTTTTTCTTATTCAAAGTGGTTTGGAAATTCTCCAATTGTTTTTATGACAACTGATTCATTTTTTGGAAGGACCATTTGCCCTCGGGAAGCCATTTTATTAGTATTGTGCTTCTCTTCCTCAACATAGATCTTTCTGATAACGGGACTTCTTTCTTAAGACTTATAACCCTTTAGGAATTCAGAATAATACAAATGAAGGCAGAGAAAGGCTTGAAAAAATCCAAGGGGATGTCATGAT